ACTCGATATCTAATTTTTTAATTAACTGTCCATCCCCATATTCTGTCCGGCAATGGGTGTTAAATATTCCATCATCTTGATACCTTATCCGGTATGAGGGTGAACAGTATCTCCCAAACCTTTTTGGTAAGGGACTTTCCAGTATCGTTTGACTAAACTAGTATTCACGATATGGTTCCCTATGTACTGGGCTTGTCCGCTTCTTTTTTGGGTACCTAATAAGTATTTCACATACATATTTTCATCAACAAATAACTAACAAATGCATACTAATATCTCATTATATATTCACAGATCAATTAAACGATATTTAAGCAAATAATACAGTTTCATACCTCAACAACTAAGAAATGTAATTGGAGCATTTATTTCAAATCAATGAATCAGATAAAGATTACAGTCAGACAATCAATAAATATGAAAATAATTAAAAGTAATAATTTTAATCATACGGTAGATCAATCAAGCAAGTAGGACAGTATAAGAAAATAAATAAAAAATCAAGACAATTATAAACTAACTAGTTCTGGTTCCATTAGTAACCAATACGATATTATACATCATTAAATCTCAATTTACTATAATAGAAAATAGAGTGAGGGATCTTTACTCAGATTAGTGTTTTGAGACGTTGAGCTGTCTACTATGCCTCCGAACGGGTACTGAGTTTCCTGAATTTTTCTTGTAGAATCCAAAACACTCATCACATATATAAAAATATCACAAAAATCTAAAATTGGTGTCCAAAACCAACTAAATTTGGGGTTCCTGCATGGTGGTGCTGCCGTGCTCCGGCGCCGACTCTGCCACCCACGATGGTGGTTCGCCTCGGTTTGGCTGATTTTGGCTGATTTTGATCATATTCATGCAGAAAAATATGTTAAGGGGCCTCAGTTAGTCGAGAAATAAAAAAAATCAAACCTACCGGCAGGAGAACCTCCAGGTGCAGTGGCTTTGCTAGTTCTCCTTCGCGACTGAGATTCTTTCTTCGGCTAACATGCATAGAAAATGACAGCGACCACAATAATCGAAAAATCACATGAAACAGGTATCAGGAAGGGGCTCATTGGAGGGATTTTGAGGTTTTGGTCGCAATGGCTCTACCGGGCTTTACCCGCAGTTTCCAGCTCACCCGTCATCCCTCTTGTTTTGATTTGGCCATAGGGATGCTTAGAATCAAATTTCAAGTGGATATGAAGAATTTTTACCTTTTTTGGCGGCCAGCGGTGACTTAGGTGCGACGGCAGTTGTCAGTTGACCTCCTTATCCGACGTCTAATTCTTTTTCTCCGGCGGGAACTGGCGGCTAGGGTTTGGATTTCTGTGTGATGCAAAGTATTCATATCAATCCCGCGTTGATCTGAACTGTCCACCGCGATCGATCTCGTCCATCCGATTGCGTCTAAGGAGGAAACGAATATGGACCGTTCATCGCGATTGATCTCAACTGTCCGATCGCGCCTAAGAGAGAAACGAATCCGAGTCGTCCACGGTGCGAGATCGATTCTGGGTCGTCTGATCGCGGGGCATGCGGATTGTCCGCGTGCCTTGCCACGCGGTGTGCTCCGGTTTGTCGAGACTGCTGATTGGGCAGTCTTACGTGGCCGAACTTTCTTTTTTTTGCACTTTGATTATGTGTTTCCAATTTTTCTTTCAAAAAAATATCTTGAGTTATTTTTCAGCTTCGGGTATTACATAAAGACTTCAAAATAAATCATATACGAATCTAAAACATACGTATTGAATCAAAGAGAATAGATACATAAGCGGAAGCGTACTTGAATTCATAACGAATGAAATCTATTATATGGTATATCTTTCAAATCAATACATAAGTAATTTAGAATTCAACTTGATAGCCTTTTATGCACAATAAGCTCACATATTACTCACACAGTTGATCAAAATCTAACAATTTCATGAGTAAAAATGAGTCGACAATCTTGTAAATAAATTTACTTGATTTTTTATATAATTTTCATGTAAATTTAAAATTAACCGATCACATTTACGAATCTAAAAAATCATATATGCTTTTAAAGAATTTTATAATTACTCCACTTAGTGCCTCTTATGATTAAAAAACAAAATGCATAATTTTGATTATAAAACTGAAAATTGTATATGTTGTATGTGGTATGTGGGGTTAATTTTTATAGAACAATAATAATTGAGCTTCTATAGAATTTTAAGTAGAATTGAATATGAAATTACATTATCTTAATAATATTGAGATTGTTTGATAACTCAATTTATTATATTTAATGGATATTCTACGTAATTTTATTATTAAAATCGGATTACATTCGAAATAAATTAATAACTTTTTTGGTATTTTAAAATTTATTTATAAACAGATATAAAAAATTTATTTGAAAAAATACTAACTAAATATTTTGATGAAATTTATAATTGACTAATGTAGTTATACTTCTTCGAAAGTTCTTATAAGACTATTGTTATCGTAATTTAATAAAATTTTTACCCGCACTCGGACTAAGTTTAATTTTTTAAATGAATTTCAAGAAAATATTTCACTCAAACACTTTGATATAGAATAATAAAATATATTAAGCTAAAATAAAATTATCATTAACCTTTAACAAATTAAACGTAAATTTTGAATAAACTTTATAAAAATATATATTTATTTAACACACAGCCTAAACAAAAAAAAAAATTATGAAAATATAATTAAATTACTGCAAAAAATAAGCTTATTAAAATATTTAGAAAACTAAAAGAGGCATGCTTTAATATAATAATTAGTAATCATCTTTTCTTTTTTTTTTTTACTTTTTTTGGGAAAAAAAAAGCCTTCTTCCTTCGCATGATATTCATGCATGTGAAATAATTATAAACATACGTATATATTATATTATATTAATTTTTATTTAGTATTTACTATTTTAGTACATTGCACCACATACATATAAACACATGTATATAATGTTTTGAAATAATGAATTTCACAAAACGTGTTCAATAAATTTGCAATTTCACATTTTTTTTACTGTTTAGAATTATAATGAAAATTATTATTATTATTTTTTTTACAAATCTATTATTTACATTTCCTAAGAATTAATTAATTTTCCACAAAATCATACATATATACGTATATTATTTGGTGTACTATGTATATTCGATGAATTTAGATTAAGTTTCTGGTTATGTAAAAATAATATATATATAATTATTTAGTTGTTCGGGTATAATTATATATATAATGTCAAGATAACATTTTATAATATTATTATCTATTTAGATTATAAAATATAAAGATAAAATCAGTGTAAACATCATATTTAGTAATTATTTGTATTAATTTTTTTATAAAAATAGAATTTAAAAATCAATTAAATATAAATTCTATATGATATATTTTTAAATACAAAAAATAAAAGATATATATTTATTTAAAGTATTTAAAAATTTTAATTTCTAATTAATAAAAATTTATTTGCTATATAATTAAATTTTAAAATTTTAACCAGGACAAAAATTTAGTAATATTTTGTGCACAATTTTGTATTTTTTTTTTGTTTTCTATATTAACTTAAATCATAATTATTTTGTATTTTTAAAACAAAATTACTTATTATATTATTGTTTTTTATTTTTTATATAATTATTTTTACATTTTATCAAATAGAATCTCTTATTTTGCTACTTTTTATTTATTTATTAACAGTTATGTATATGACATAAAATATTATTTAATGTTTATTAAAAATTAAATTAATTGGTAAATACACTTAATAATTAAATCATTTTTTAAAAATGTAATCGTAATTATATATTGATTTTAAAAATCCATGTACAATTTTGCAGCATTCATCTATTATTCGCACCCACTGGCAGTTTATTACTAGCGGGTCCCACTCTGTTTGTGGGTGTGTGTGTATATATTATATGTATATATATATGCGGTTAGAGTATTAGACGCGAGTTTCCGTCTACGGAAATGAACAGAACGTTTTGGCTAGGGCCCTTAGAAGTATCAAGAAGCGAAAAAAATCTCTTGACAATATCGAAAGGTAACCGGTAACCGGCCAAACCGGTGTAGAACCCCCCAATGGAGAGAGAAAAATGTTTATATATTCCATCCTCCTCTTAAAACGGGTCTGAAATGTTCCCTCACACGTCCCATCCCCTTCCCTCTTTTTCTCTTCCTCTCGAGAGAATGGAATCAGTTTAGTCGGCGATGATTTCACTCCTACGATGAGTTCCTCGGCGTGTAATTTGCAAATTCGAAGAGCTTACTAGCATCTCCTACCTTATTCTCCTTCTCCGGCTTCGCTCCGAGGCGTTTTCCGGCCACCGGGAAGTTCATTCGCTGTTCCATAGAGGAAGTACCAGAGAGCTCCTTCTCTCTCTTTCTCTCTCTTTCTCTCTCTCTCTCTCTGTATATTCAGCTATTTGCTATTTGTTTTGGTTGTCTATCTCAAATTCGGTTTTCTCCGTCTCTACTTGCTCTTTCGTTATATTTCTGTAGCTCTCTTTGTATTTTCGTCTTAAATTGCGAATTCCAAGCTCCGATCATACGGTTGCTTGTGTTTTTGGAGATCACTGATTCGATCGGTCTAGACCGTTGGATTTGGAGCTTTGAGTGATCGATGCTAAGCATTTCACTACTCTAGCAGTTGTTTTCGAAGCTGAGTAGCGGAGGATTGAGCTTCAATAAAGAAAGAGAGTGAAATTTTATGTTGATTACAAGAGAGAGATGCTGGATCTCGACCTCAATGTGGACTCGGCTGAGTCGAACCAGAACGGCGACTCATTCTCGGAGAAGTTGCCGCAAGGGTCGGGTAACCAAATGGACGAATCAGGGACGTCAAACTCGTCGATCGTCAATGCGGACGCTTCTAGCAACGGAGGAGGAGAGGAAGACTCGTGTTCTACACGCGCCTTCATGCTCAACTTCGATATACTGAAGGTTGGCGGAGGTGGTCGTGGAAGCGAAAATGATGCCGTGGTTACGAAGGAGTTCTTTCCTGTAAGTGGAAGTAGTGAGGGGCATGGTAAGGATTTTGGGAACTCGGAGGGGCAGAGCTCGAAGAGCTGGATTGATCTTTCGTTCGAGAGGGGAAAGCAAGAAGGTGGGACTGTTGGTGGCGGCGGTGATGAATTGCGGGTGGTGCAGCAAGCTTCACAGCCGGCGAAGAAGAGTAGAAGAGGACCCCGGTCAAGGAGCTCGCAGTATAGAGGGGTGACCTTCTATAGGAGGACCGGGCGATGGGAATCGCATATCTGGTGAGTTCGGTTCTATAATATAACTGAATTGTGAAAAATTTGAGTAGTTATTTTCTGTTGTTGTTGCGAATTCTCCTTCCAATGGGCTTGATGGGTGGTTAATCTCTGTTGCATTTTGGTTGTGCTTTGGCTGCATTTGAGATTGCTAAATAATCGTTCAGGTCAGATTGTGTTTACTTGTTAGTTGAATTTGATGTTAAGCAGGTGTTGGGGCTTTTGCCGTAGCTTATTTTGTAAGAATTTATAAGCTGTATAATTTATAACCTATCTAACAGCAGATAAGTTAATACAGTTTTTATATAAATAAGTCATAGGCGTCTGGCTAACACGAGCGTATGGTAAGTTTTATGAGTTTATTTATGTGTTTATTAAATACGTAGATAGTAAGGTGAAAAATTCTATCAAAATAATAGTTTTACTATTTTTAGTTTATACAGTTGCAAAAATAATTTTTTTCTTGAAAATCATTTCTTTATATTTTTTACTAATTAAAATATAAAATAATATTTTAATTCTAATTATTATTTTTTTATTTATGTTCATTCTTAATTATGAGTTTAGTCAACAGCGGTGTTCTTTTAAATATTAGTAATGAGCAGCTTTCTAAAAAATTGTTGCAAGAGCTAATAAAATCTTTAACTTATCACCTTTTAGGTGTTTGCCAAATCAGTAAAAAATTTTTAAAATGCTGCTAGAGAGCTTTTAAATTCCTGTTGACTGGTTTATAAGCTTAACTAAATGCCCTCTTATAATTGGTTCAACCTGTGATTGAACTTTCTTTATTGTTGACGTCCTTTCCCATTCACTCTGTGTTTTAGAACATGAATTGATCCCTTGGCTTACCTGAATTTTCAGAACTGACTTTCATGTAACATGTTTGGTTAATTTTCTTTTCCTTTTGTTGGTGCAGGGATTGTGGGAAACAAGTTTATTTGGGTATGGACGTGGTGTTTATTTGACTGAATTCTGATTTTATTACTGTCAGAAATATTTAAAATGCTTTCCTCTTTTTAGCAATACTTCTAATTAACTTGGCTGCTGGGATCATGTAGGTGGATTTGATACTGCTCATGCTGCAGCTAGGTAAATATTATGATCGCATGGAAAGTTTTTTGTTTCACCTTATTCATTATTTTAGTATGTTCTCCAAAAAAAATTGTGTTTAAATTCAAGCAGTTTAACACTTTTAAGATGATCTTTTTTTTCTAAAATTCCATTTGTATGCAGGGCCTATGATCGAGCTGCTATTAAGTTCAGGGGTGTTGATGCTGACATCAATTTCATTCTCAGTGACTATGAGGATGACCTTAAACAGGTTCAATAATGCCAGTATTACATGTAGAATTAAATTTATTTATTTTACTTGGTTTCTACCATGAGACACTAGGTTAAATGACCTTGATCAATGGGCAGATGAAAAATCTGACCAAAGAAGAGTTTGTACACATACTCCGCCGTCAGAGCACTGGTTTTTCTAGGGGGAGCTCCAAATATAGAGGAGTGACGCTGCATAAGTGTGGCAGATGGGAAGCACGGATGGGGCAATTCCTTGGCAAAAAGTGAGGAACAAGTTCATGGTTCTAAATTATTTTATTTAACTGGTCATTTGGGTAGTGGTATGAGTTATAGGTTCCTGTTGTTCTGAAATGAGAACTGGTTAGGAAATTAACTCATAACAGGCTGTTTTTGTTATCTGCTCATATGGAGAAACAAATCTAAGATGCCTGTTTCAAAGAAAAAAATGATTGGTGATGGCGTTTTCATCATGGAGATAACTATGCTTACATGCAGGTATATTTATCTTGGGCTATTCGACAGTGAAGTAGAAGCTGCAAGGTCCTAATGATCATGAATTACACTCTACCTGATACTGAATTTATTACCCTGAATTCTCAACCTCAATAGGGTTCCAACCAACAAATCTCTACCTTTTGATTTTCTGG